TAAGTGTTTCTTCAGATTTCAGTTCTCAGTGCTAAGCTCTGCAGATAACACAGCTTCTGCAAGGACAGACTATGCTGGCAAGTTGTTCGCTTACACCTGGTCCATGTTTTTCTTCAGGAAGATTAAATACTGTTGCCTTTGTTTTCACTGAGTCAACTTTGCCTGGGGTGCTTCCCAAGTTATTCAGAGCTTAGCACAGTGCCTGGCGTGACAGGTACTCAGCTCTTAGTTTGGTTGAAGGGAATAATTAGATGAATAAGAGCATGGCATGCCCTCAGTTGGACCCGTGTAATGCATTGCAGCAAAATTGGCTCCACCAGCCAAAAAACGAGAACTTCTCCATCCTATTCCATCCAGTGGCGTCACCGGCATTGTTACCTTAACTGCCATGTCTTCATGTGAATGTGAATAAATCAGCACGTTGTGTTAAAATTTCCTGACCTTTGCTGTCCTTGGATTTACTGTGTTCTTTTAGAGCCATTCAGTTTTATTAATAAAACATGTCTTTTTTGGGTTTTGTTTTGTTTTCAAAAGCTAAAGATTTTTCCGTTTGGTTTAACAGTGCGATGTTTTTAAAGTGGTTGTTTAAAATGTGTTGGATGTTTCCTAAAGTCTTGTTTTTGTTTAATGGTTTCCTAGCAATTGATTATAAAGAAACCTGAGAGATGTAAAAGTGTTTTCGGGTGCTCTGAGTGTTCCCACCCCAGTGTGTAGAGGGAGGAAGTAGGGGGTGCATGTGAGCATGCTGGGGATGGGATGGGAACCCAGCCTTTTCTAATGCTCGTGGCTGATCTTTTTAACGTGATCTGAGTGTGAAGTGTTGTGAAGAATGTGTAGTGTGATGAATTAATTCTCAAAAGTGGAATTGTTTTGAGTTACCATGTTATTATTTGTCAGAATGTAAACAGAAATAGAATTCTTTCCTTGTAGGTGATATATTTCTCCTTAATCGCTCATCTTTCAACACGTTTGTTTGTTCTCTGTGCGCCGCGGAGGGCTGGGCGCCGCAGTCTGAGTCACTGTGCTGGAGGGGGCGAGGCGCCATCTCCATGCCCGCGTCGGTGCCACCTTAGGTTTTTATCCACATGTACGTGGCTGTTGCATCTGAAGCCTGGCAGTTGCTTTTTCACTCTTCAGGAGCTGTCATTCTGGTTCATGACTCTTTAAATGGTTCATCATCCCACACTTTCTTCTCTGTTCCAAGTTACCAGTGACATTCTTCCTCTGTCTCGTCTGTCTCTCTGCTGATCTGAGCATCATCTGGGAGAGAGTATCCAACCGTTACCCTTAGCAGCTATTACTCCTCCTCACAGATCGATGGAGCATGGTAGGGGGACACAAAGAGGCCCATTGCTCTCCCTGGGCTCACTCATCCTTAAGGCCTCAGCTCAGTGTCCCGCGCCCAGGGAAGCCTGACTCCCAGGGCTGGGTCAGGTCTGCCCGCTTTCGTATTCCCACTGCAACTGGAAACTCTGATGTTGCCAGTGGAGACAGGTAGCTGACAATGAACAGGCAAGTTCTTGACCGCAGGTTTGAACACAGTTGAAGGTCAACGCTTTCATATTCAGGCGTCCGTCTTCCGACGTCCTTATCCTGCTTCTCTCCCGGGTAGCTGGCGTCTCTCATTTGGATACTGACTCCTTTCCATGCTCTGTACAGTTAAATTTAATTGATTGTAACTTGTTTCTGTTCTGTTTTCACCGCTGGACAATAGATGTGCTTGTGGACTGTACACCCAACCCAGTGCCTAGCACATGACGTGGTGTTCTGTAGATAACTGCTGACCCTCTGGGCACGGTCTGAAGCCTAGTAGACACTTGCCATCGTTTGCTGAACCCCTCGTTTGTAAATCCCATGTTAATCTCTCCGTGACAGAAGTTGCCGTTTTTGGCCGTGGGGCCTGTTTCAACGTTCCTGGACTAGAAAAGCAGTCAGCCTTCTAGCTGTCGCATCTTATTTTGTATCTTTTACCTTTGTTCACTTAATTACATAGTCGATAATTCAATAAATACAGCTTTTATCTTGTTTTGATCGAACAAGTAATATGTCTCTTAAACATAAATATAATCATATTCTAGAGGTTTTTTTCTTCTTTATGAGAATGGAGCATTCTGGCAGACCTGAGATTGTTTTATTACTTCACTGATTAAGAAAAAAACATGCACGCTAAATAGTTTTCTCACATTGTAGTCCCCCATCCGGTGCCAGTGTGCCTCCACGTGGGGGGTCTTTAAACAGCTTGGTTGTCTCAATTCTTGCTCCAGAAGGGGCTGGGTGTAGAGCTAGGGAATGCAGAGCCTGTGTCCTCTCCCCTGTTGCTGAGGGACAGGACAGCCTGGGTTCTGTACTGTGGGGATGTGTAGGAGCCATTTTGCTGCTCTGGAGTGGGGTGTGGGAATTAATGGTGAGTTCTCCACAGATTTTATAGTGTGGAGAAAATGGGGCAGATGACAGTCTAGCAAATGCAGCTGTTGGGTTTTGTAGTGAAGTTTCAGCAAATAACTTCTGTGCTTCATAACCATCATATGGGGACAGAGCTTAGCACCTGTGGGGCCTTGGGAGCTCTGCTTATTCATGTTTGCTTGGAATACTTAATACTTCGCAGTGCATTAGATTGTAGTGATTATTGAATTACAGTTGATTCTTACAGCTTGCTTTAGTTGAAAAAGATTAGTTGTTAGAAATGAGAAGTGGTAACTTGAGAAAAGTATATTCAATATCAAATGGGAATTAATACTTTCAATTTCAGCATCTGCTTTCACTTCCAGCTTTCTCTTTCAGTGTGTTTTCCCTTTTAATTCCTTGCCAGAAAAGCATACTTCTAATACCTTTGATCAAATACATACAAATTGTTTCCTTCGAGAAACCATCAGTAGCTGGTTAACTGGGATGATTTCTACCTAGTATTCCTTCTCAGAAATTTCTGGCTGAATTGCAAATGTTGGAATAAACCGAACTGGGAATGCTGACAGTTGGCCCTGCGGGTCAGCACAGGGTCCTAAGAGCAAAGGCAGGAAACACACTAAGTGGGTGATAGGGCTGTTGTCTTGGAAGTGGCATTGGGTGGGGTGAAAAGTAACTCTGTGGTTTACTCTGTCCATGCCTGAGTGAGATAAGCATGTATTTCATTTAGAAATAAAAATGCAGTCATCACTACCATCTCACACACCTCATTTGAGAGAGAGAGGGAGGAAGAAAAGATGCATTGATGAGGGTGTGAGGAATGAGAGCCCTGAGGACCGCTGTGAGAATGCATCGCAGAGCAGCTGCTGTGCAATCAGTATGGCCTTTGCACAAAAACTAAAAATAGAGTTACCATCTGACCCAGCGTGAGGAAAAAGCCTGTTCCTCCCACTTCTCTTCTCCCACTGTCTGTGTTCTTCCAAGCCAAGCCGTTCTCCAGCCCTCTGGGAGCCCAACTGCACGTCCTGTAACTTGACTCAGTTCTGACATTATGTAGAGTTAGTGCAGACGCCAGGGACCGAGGGCTGTTGGCGGGGATAGGGTTGAAAGTTCCTTTCCTTCTTCATTTTTTTATTTAAATTTTTTTAAAAATTGAGGTAATGTTGGTTTACAACACGTTTATATGATTTAGGGGGACAGGTTCTCACTTCTTCAGAGGCGTGTGACCACACAACACCCACCACCCAAGCGCCCATAAGCCTTTGCGGTAGTCTTACTAGACCCCTCTCCCCTTTTTATTCCCAACCCCCAAGTCTCCATTCTGCGGTTAGATTTCTAGGCTATGTTTTAGTTAGTTGAGTCTGTCCCTTTCTTTTGTTTCTCTGTATTCCACATTGAGTGAAATCTGGTATTTATCTCTTTCTCACTTACTGTGCTTAGCATAATCCTCTCCAGTTCCATCCATGTTGCCCATAGCAGGATTTCGTCTTTTTTAAATAGCTGAGTAGTATCCCAGTGTGTGTGTGTGTGTGTGTGTGTGTGTGTGTGTGTGTGTGTGTGTGTGTGTATACACATACATATATATATACACATACATATATATATGTATGTATATATATGTGTGTATATATGTATATATGTGTATATATATATGTGTATATATATGTGTGTATATATATGTATATCACATCTTCCTCATCCACTCCTCTGTCCCTGGGCATAGCTTGACTATTAGGTTCTTTCCATAACTGACTATTGTAAACAGTGCTGCAGTGAACATAGCAGTGCAAATGTGAGCTTGCATTAGTGTCTTTGCATTCTTTGGGTAGATACCTCGGCGTGGGATTGCTGGATCATATGGTAGATCTATTTTTAATATTTTGAGAACCTCCTCACTTGTTTTTGATAGAGGCTGGACCGGTCTCCATTCCCATCGTGTACGGAGGAGGTTCCTTTTTCTTCACATCTCACCAAGACTTGTGTCTGGGTTTTTTAAAATTTTTTTTCTATATGGACCATTCTTAGGGGTGTGAAGTGATATCTTATTTTGGTTTTAATTTGCATTTCCCTGATGATAAATGAAGATGAGCATTTTTCATGTGTCTGTCGACCGTCTGTATGTCTTTCTTTGGAGAAATGGAATTCTTCCTTAAGAAAGGAAATTCTGGTCCATGATACAACACGGAAAATGAGGATATTATACTGTGTGAAAAAAGTCTGTCCCCTAAAGACAAATACAGTATGCTTCAACTTAAGCATTACAGAGAGCGGTCAGACTCACAGAGCCTGGTAGAGGGTGGTTGACAGACTGAGGAGGACAGGACAAGGGGAATGTGGGAGTCGTTTAGCTGGTAAAAAGTTTTAGTTTTATAAGATGACATATTCTGGAGATGGGTTGATCAGTAATAGGAATGTACTCAATGCTGCTGAGTTATACAATTAAAAATGGTTAAGATGGAAAATATTTTATAAATATTTCATCACAATAAAAAAAACCCCACAACTTAATATTCAAACACACAAAAACCCTGATAAGTAGAGAATGGGTTTTCCTTTTAGTGGCCAAGGCTAACCTGCTGTGTTGTGTTGTCTTTTAGGCCTGGAGTTTCCTTGACCTTGCAGGCGTTTTCCGAAGAGGAAAGGAAGCAATGGTTGGAAGCTCTGGGTGGAAAGGAAGCGGTAAGGATAATCAGTGGTTGGGTTTTATTTCAAACCCATTAGAACTGACTTGTATTTATTTTTATGTTATTTTCGTTTTACAGTATTTGAAAAGTCATTCCCTGCCGAAATGGGTATTTGAATTCATCTTGGAAACATTGAGTATTGTAGTAATTTGCTTGAGGTAGCAGCACACAGCTAGGTATAGCATTCATTCTTTTGATTTTTTCTGGACGTTGCTTTTGCTTGAGGAAGTCATCTGAACTCTCAAGTTTCTTCTTTCCTACTTGATAGTATTTTGAATGATGAACATAATAAATGCTCGCAATTCATTTTGATCTCAGTGGAGATGGAACTGTAAATATGAAGCAGTATAGGCACTCTCATAAAGAACTGCTGTAATTATTTTCCTTGATTTGAAAGTTTATGGTTCAACCTAATGGTTTACACTGTGCAGTATCCAGTAGTCTTCACAACTGGGCCTCTGTCTCCAGGTAGTTGGAAGAATAAATGAAAGGCAGTTGATGCAGATCCGGAGCACCGGTTTCAGTCTGTTTGCCACTTGATTCCAGCCGAACTTTCACTCCTGGGCCTCTGGAATCTGGGAGTTGAGAATCTTACAGCTCATGTAGTGAAGTAGGAACTTAGGATAATTATAGAAAACACCGTAGAACCTATTTAAATAAACTCTGTGTCAGTATTACGACTCCAGTAACTGCCTTTGCAGATACCAGGCAGGCTTGTCTAGAAAGTGTTGGCCTTTTCAGTAGGGTTTATTATTTTTAATTTTTAAAATATATTTTTAAAAATATACAACATGGTATGGTATATGATTCAGAGGTGCAGGCTCTTTCCTCTTCATCTATGTTACCACACCACACCCACCACCAAAACACCCATAGTCCTTCACCAGCATCTGGCAGGGTTTAAAAGAAGGAAAAGAATGTGATTTTAAAAGTAGAAGAGATGTCAGAATAGAGCTCATGAAGCATTGTAGGTCTGGGAGAGCACACTGATGAGAATTTAACTGGCAAAGACTGGGCTGAAGTGTTTGTGGCAATTGAAAAACAAAAACCCAAATTATGTATTTTAAAAGTAGACGCTGTATAGGGAAATGTGCATCACTCTTGGGAGAAAAAAGTAGCAGTCAGATCTGTGTATCATTTTATTATATTTGATCTGCATTTAAACTGTTCAACCTGTTGTTTGTATCTACCTGTTCTTGTTCTTGGAATTTTTAGCTCTGAGTCAAGAGTACTTAGAGCATTAATAGTTCCTTAGATCCAAGAAAGATTATACTAATTCTTTCTAGTAAAGACAAGGCACTGACTTGAACTTAAATCCCCAGTGATTCAAGAAGTTCTTTGGAAAGAGAGTTTACATAGCAAAATCACATGACTAAATTGTTGAGAAATACTTCTGTTGCTGAAGTACAAGAGGCTGGGCAATACCTTTTTTTTTTTTTAAATTGGGGTCAGAATGTGTTATGAAATTGTCTCAGGTGGTCATCCTTGAGAATCAATGTTGTCTATGCTACATTCAGTTCACCACAGAACATCAACATCTGTCCCTCAGTATCAGTGTCCCTGTCCCCCCAGTTTTGAAGACATATATCACCTCTCTTTTCCTATAAAGAGCCAAAGTAATTAAAGTGTACAGACTAAGGCAAATCTTCAGGAAGAAAGTACTTAGATATATATTTAAGTGAGCATATTTCAGACATTGTGTATTTTTTTCCAGGTGCTATATATATACCTGCAAATAATGGATCAGCACTAGAATTCTTAGAGACAGCCTGAATTGTCACTTAACTGTTTCAGATGTCGTTATTTAAATTATGGGTAGGAATCATTTCTTTCTTATGTAAATAACAGATTTTAGAAATGGTGGTGAAAAAAGGAACTTCATTTTATTGGTGAGAATGCAGCATTTTACTTTGTCATTCTCTATGCAGAAGGCCCAGCACTTTGAATTTTCAGAAACTCTCAGAACTTCCTAAAGAATCATGTTCCCTTGACCCTGTCTTGACGACTTAAGCATACCTCAGTCAGAGGCAAAGGGAATACACGATGCCTCTTTTTGTTATTTATCTTTGTATTTGAGCACATGATAGTGTAGGATTAATACCAATTTATTTATTTATTTTTTGCATGGTCACAGGTATGCCTACTTGAATCATTTATATTGATTTGTTAAAAATGCTTTTTTTCTCTTTTTCTCTTTCACTAGCTGTACCATAGTTTTAATAGAGCCATCACCCCAAGGCCAGAAGGAAGTAAGTGCTAATTTATAAAAATGGCTGTTCTCATGAGTGACTTCATTTTCCTGTGGCTGTGCAACTTTAGCTGGGTGCTCACTCCCTGCAGCTTCTCTGAGCTAGTCCCCCCAGGAGTGTGTGTGTGTTTTCTTTTCATCTGCTGAGACACCTCACATTTTCTGGACTTTGTAACCTCATGGGTCCTTCCCATCTCTGAACCTTTATTTAAATCCTTTTCTACAATTCACTTTGATGTGTGTGTGTGTGTGTGTGTATGTGTGTGGGAGAGAGATATGTATATGTGTGTATTTATAAGAATATATAAGAATGTGTATATATAAATTGTGCTTGGTGGTATAAGCGCCACTTTGATTTTTAGTCCTGTAAATAAACACATCACAGTTTCAGGTATGCAATTTTCAACTCCCTAAGTTGTAGGGGAGGAAGCTATAGGGTCCCCTATTCACCCTGGTCCTTGATATCTTTTATCCTTGTAGTCTTTCATATGGACTGTGCATATGGTTTATCATTGCATCTTGAAAATTGCAACACTTAACAACCAGGCTTATCTAGATATTCTGAGACAATAATCTTCACGTGTATTGTTTGTGCCACTTCTTGATTTTCAGTGAGATGAAACAAAAATTAGATTTGCTGGATTCTTTATGAATCTTTTTGTAATTTTTGCAAAAATTGAGGTTTCATTTATCAAATGTCCACAGTTTGGAAACATTGTCATGTAGCACTTGATTCCAAAATTACTCTGATATGTCTACCTTTCAAGCAGCCAAGGCTGACCTGAAAGACATCTCCAGCCTTGGGCAGGAAATTGACAGGGTGCTGTGGGGGCTTGTAAGTCTCCTGACGTCTTCCTTTCTGATTTTCCTCCTCCTTTCCTTTCGTTTACTTTCTTTTCTCTCTCTTCCTCTTCCTTTTTCTCCTTTTTGTCTTTCCCTTCTTATTTTTTTAATAGAGAAATAAAAATAGGCCTTTTTTGGGGAAAAATATTTTTGCTAAGCAGAAAGAAACACTTGTATTTTATAAAATGTTGGCACAGTGGATCCTTTAACAGTAAACCACTGCCCAATTTTCTTCATTAAAATTCTCCTCCAGTTTAGCATTAAGCCTGCAAAGTTTATATTCATGGATTGTTCACGTTATCCTCTCTGAGAGCCAGGAGTTAATATTACTGTTCCCTACTTCTAAACACAGACTCAAGTATTCATTTTCCCTGATTTCATTTTTTGAAACAAGAACTGTCTTTTATTAGGGCGTTCAAATATACCGGCCTAATCATAGGCAGGTGTCTATATGAGGAATAAAAGGAAATGTTTTCAAAATAATCTTTTTATATGAATCATCTGTTTTAAATTCATTATGAATATAATAAAATAAGAAACTTAGAGCATGGTATAAATTACGGAATTCTTTTTGAAGTTCCTAGCTTAAATAATACTTGTTTATAATTATTATTATTTCCTTTATTGAGGTAGCATTGGTTTATAATAGTGTACATGATTTACCAAATAATTCTTTACATAGTTTCTTCTATTTCCCCCCCAGATTACAAAAAGTAGTCATGATAGTAATTTAAGAACTTTTACTTTATCATTAAATAAATTTTTTTGGTGAACTGTGTCTTAACTATCTCTAGATCTAGATGGATGCTGAGCTTTGTCAGATGTTTTTGTCAGATATTTTTTGTATCTGTTGAAATGATCATGATTTTTATCTTTATTTTGTTAATGGTGGTGCATATATTGATTTTGTGGTTGTGAATCACTCTTGCCTCCCTGGAATAAATACCATTTGGTCATGGCGTAAGGTCCTTTTAATATTCTGTTGAATCCACTTAGCTAAAATTTTGTTGAGAATGTTTACATCTAGGTTCACCAGAGCTATGGGCCCATAATTTTTTTTTTTTATGTCTTTGGTATCAGAGTGATGCTAGTCTTGTAAAATGAGTTTGGAGTTATTGCCTCTGTTTCCTGGAAGAGTTTAAGGAAGATTGGTATTCATTCCTCTCTAAAATGTTTTATGGAATTCACGAGTGATAACTTTCTTTTTTTTTAATTGTAAAATAAAAACCAGATTGGAATAATTTTTTTCTACTTTTGTAAGGAAGAGAAACATAAGTACACACCTAATATTTCATAACTGTATTTCTTTTAGGTGCACAGTTGGATAAGATGGGATTCACAATTCTCAGAAAATGCATCAGTGCGGTTGAAACACGAGGTAACATGTTTATCTGAATCATGGTATTCATGAAAGGCTCTAGGTATGTAAAATCTAAGAGTCATTTAAAAGGCTTATTGCAACATTACATGTTGGAGAATGAAAAAAGGAAATGCAAAGTGCACATCCATGGTGTCAGACATTCAGTAGTTTGTTTACAATGACAAGGGGCGAGTTTCCTTTTTATTTACATATTTCTGCCCAGCAGTGAAACACTGAAACAAATTACTGCTTAAATGCCAGTCATTAGGAGAATCAACAGTGTTGATCACCCAGTCCTAACCACTTTGTGCTCATGTGCTGTGAATACACTCCCATGGTCAGCTATCTCATTGGCCTCTTAAAAAAAATCAGTTTTGTCAGTGTAATTTGCATACAGAAAAACACACTGATTTAATTGCCTAAATTGATGAGTTTTGACAAGTGTGTGTAGTTGTGTATTGACCATCCCAGTCACAGATTTCTGTCTCCCTCCAAAGTCCTGTTGTTCCCCTGTGCAAGTAAGCCCTATTCTCCCCTTGCGCTTTCGCACAATGAACTGCCTTTTTTTGTTTGTTTAAAGCATTTCTGCTCATAGACTCATGGACTATAGAGTCTTTCATGTCATGCTTCTTTATTTAGCTGATACTGAGATTCTTCTTGGTGGGTATATCCTCAGCTCATTTCTCTTTATTGTTAGGTAGTATCCATTATGTGGGGAATACTGCACTTTGCTCATTGATTCACCTGTTGATAAATATTTGGGTTGTTTCCATTTTAAATGTAAAGAAAATGAATCCTTTCCTCATCCAGAAGCTCAGAGCCTTTTTATTTTAGTCCCTGTAGCCATTCAGGAGACTTACAAACCCATCCCTTTATGGAAGTTGACTTTCTTTTTTGTTCAGAGACTTAGGAAAGTATGGATAAATTGAACATTTAATTCCCTTTTCTAGAATGTATGTCCCAGTCTTACTTGGGTGACTTAGTGGGATGAAGCAGTGCATTCACGTTTTCTGTCAAAACAAGGTCTTTGTTATAAAGCCAGGATGCCACCTGTGAAATAAGAGTCCTGGATAACAGATGAATACGAGCTGTTTTATGATTTGGGGATTTGCCCATCTATAATAAAAACCCAAACTCTGGAAAGCCTTTTCTCCCTGACACTCTCACAATGACAATTCAGGCTGTGACAGATTTTCATTCAAATGTCTTCACTTTCCTAGTGCTTTAAAAATTTCCAAAATTTTGAAAAATACTGTGATTTTTAAGTCTCTCTTCATCATTTATACTTTTGTGGCTCTTGAACTGCTTAAAAACCTTGACTATATCACTTGCATTCTTAGTATTGTGAGAAATTATTTCCCAAAAGCGATGTTTTGCATGACTTGATTCTGCCTGAACTGATAAAAATCTATCTAGACTATTTTCTTATAGATATGTGTGGCGTATGGATTGTTAAGTACATTGAATGGAATATGTAGACTAGACTCTGCATGATTGAATGTATTTTTATTATAAGTAGTAAATCATTGCCTCCTTTTAACAGAAGAATGAGTCTGCACATTTTAAGCAAGATTTTCTCATTTAACAGTGAAAAGCAAAAAATGTTTTTCTTTTTAAATCATTTGTTCCTAAAGGTCATTCATTACTCTAGTCTTTTCGGTTTTAATGGAGTAGCAGATGAAAACTATAGTTAAAGGAGTCAAGGGCTGGGTCATATTATTTGAAATGATGAGGAACCTTGTAGAAGTTCTAAGGCTTTTGTCCTAAATTTGGAAGTTCCTTCCATTAAGAATAATGCTCTTAACTGATTTTCCCCCAATCTGCTATGATGGCTGTTGATATTTTTTTATGCTACAGTTGTAGCACTATTTTTCATTAGTTAGGATAAAGCTACTTTATGTTCCTATTATAAGAAACCTGCATGTGTCTTGGCCTGAAACAGCAAAGAGGTATTTCACGCCAGGCATTGAATGGGAGGATTTGTTCATCCCTAAGACCTGGGCTTGCTGGCTCCTGGTTGCCTTGTCCAAGGAAAATGGCTCTGAAGGGCTTTGTACCAGCAAGCGAACACACAGGCCTTGAAGTGAGTCACATTTGCTCACAACTAATGGGTCAGCTGTGAGCTGGGCCTGGGAAAGGCTCATGGGGGATTTTAATGCTTCGGTACCTCAGCCCTGGGAGAAGAGGGAAGAGAGCCTTGTGTTTGACAGCTATGGGCACACGCTCGTTCCCTTCATGTTAATAATACCCTGCTACGCAAGGATCTTTTCTTTTTTAAAATAACAGAAAAGTTCTGAGGAAAATACCACAGTGTTCTTTTCCCTCAATAACAGGTTAAACTCAGATCCCGTTAAACCCAGTTCTGATCTGAAGCCACTCAGCTGACCGGTGTTTGTTGTGCAACCACAGGTGTAGCCGCCTGGCGATACAAACGGAGGTCGCTTCCATCTAATCCTTGATCCATTAGAGGTAGAGAGAATAGAAAGATTTGTAAGCAATTGAAGTATGCCAGGTGATAAAAGTGTTACAAGTTTGCAGGGATTAAGAGAATTTGAATGCATGCGGATGGATTGCAGAATATTTGCTGTTAATTGAGGACTGAGTTCGGTAATAGGCTTCCTGGATTTAGAGGCTAGGAAAGTCTATTTTGGCATTTTGAGAAACCTCAGCAAAGATGTGGAGACAGAGTGTGACAGCAGTAAGCCAAACTGGATTGGAAAGGAAGCATGAAGAAACAGTAAGAGCTGGCATTCAGGCATCTGGATTTAGTTGTGAAGGAACTGGGCACGTACCGGAGGGTGGGGGAGAGCAGAGTAGCCGCAGACTTGGAAAGGTAGGCCTAAAACTGAGTGTTGGTAGCCCTGTGTGGGATGGCTCAGTGAGAGGGAGCCCTCGAATTCAGCCTAGGTTGGAATATTCCATGACTGATTCAGAATAGACTTGTCTGTGGTGTCAGATAGCCTGGAAACACCCCAGGGATTTAGCAGCTGAAGTTACATTTAGCAGTTGGGTGGACATAGAAGATCAGAGTTCTGTGAGGAATTACACTTTCAAAGATTTACTTTGCAGGTGCAGGAGATCATGGAAACTGGAGTCCACGGCAGACCTGATGATATAAATTGGGACCACCAGGGGTGCTTCTTGAAAACACAGATTCTGGGACACAGTTGGTTCTGTTGAGTCAGAACCTTGGGTAGCTGGGCTTCTGCTTAGACAGTGAGCGGTCCACCAAGAAGAGTCAAGTGGAGAGGGGAAATGTGTCTCCTTTTACTTTTAGAGGAACGAAGAAGCCTTGAGGGCTTTCTCAAGAGAGTACCCTAGGTCATAGATCCACGTAGCTTTTGGGATGATGGCACTGAGAGCGAGCATTGGGGTGTAGCATAGACCCTCCTAAAATGTGAGGCAGGGAGAAGAAATAACAAAGTGGCCCAAGGTGGCCAGTGTCAGTGCATTGGCAGCTCAGGGCTTTCATATTTCAAGTGCTTTGTGGGTGAACTCAGAGCACATTCAGAAGTGTTCATGGTGTCCCCCTGTTCACTTGTGCCTTGTGGTAGTTTGTCCCTTTGTGGAAAAGCACCCCGTTATTTTTAAGCCATTTACATGGCCTTTCTCCCATTGTCTTGACCTTATTGGAAATAAGAACTTCAACGTCCCTGAGGACCCAGTGCTTGGGCTGAGATCCAAAGGGTGATGAGGAAGTGTCCAGGTACATGAGTTTGGGGTGTCTGAAAGGACTTTGGCAGGGGAAGAGAGGGGGTCCATGAGAGGACATTTGAAGGAATGTGCTGCCTCTGACCCGAGAGTCACCGCGCTGCCGAGGAGTCCTTGTTACTCCAAGAAGGTTCATTCTCCCTCGGTGGCTTGGGCGCTGCAGGGTTTGAAGTGCCAAAGGCAGTGCAGTCAGTAGGCATTGGGGGAAGAATCTTCACTTCTTGGACCCCATGTTTCTAAAAGAATGTGACTAGGATTTGTATTCATCCTGTCTCCCCACACTCATGTGTGTAAGGCTAAGGAAGCTCACTTACATCGTGGAGAGTAGGCTTTAAATGAATTTATTTCCCCGTCCCACCCTTTCCCTGAATTGTTTTAACCATGCTGTTTCCTCTGCACCCCCCACCCAACCCTGTGGCAGTTGCCTTGCCTAGTGGTGGTCTCTATACTTCACATATTTATTTCTGGGACTTTCCCGTTTCCTTGGAGTGGAGCAAATGTCTTATTTATTCTTTACTTGACTCTTGTTTCCAAGCACAGTCAGCACCGTAAACAGTAGTCAGCGCCCCGTAAGCAATTGCTTTTTGCTTGAGGTGAGAGATTGGAGTAAGACGCCACGTTGGTGACAGGATGCTGGGTTCCGGTGGTTGGTAAAAGTATCAGAAGAATTTATTCTTATATGTGACTGGAATCAGTGCTTTTTTTTTTTTTTTTAATAGATTTATTTATTTATTTATACAAGCACTGGGTACAGTCAGAAGCGCGGGAGGGTGAGAGAATTCACCAGAGCCAGAGCGGGGAGCAGAGCAGGCAGAAGGACCGAAGCACACTGCTGAGGGGAGCAGCGGGCGGCAGGAGAGGTCTGCGCGCCATGCGGGACCCTCTCCCGGTGGCCGGGAGCAGCCCGGGATCGAACCATTGCAGCAGAGGCTGCAGGCAGCTTCGCAACCCAGCGCTCAACCTCTGCGCCACCAGGGAGGCCCATGGAATCAGTGCTTTTAAATAACACACATAGGATTGCTTTTCCCTGCATTAGGTATTGGCAGTATCTTTCCGAATTATGGGGAGGATCTTAGCTATAGATAGAAATCTCCATCATATTACATGTGAAGATTCTTGAGGTTTCAGAGCTTAGAGAGTAATTACATAATCTCTTCAAGTAAATAACTCCTCTTCCTAAAAAGGAGCTACCTCCCATACCCAGTATATTGTTCTTTTTTGGAATTGCATGACACCCATTTTTTCAGGTGCATGCATTTATAAAACATGCAAAAGCAAAGTAAGACTTTGGCTTATGTAAACTCCTT